GTGAGGATTTATTCACCAAGGCGCCCCCGGGGGTTACAAGAAGTAATGGCCACAAGCTAGCAGAGAGCAGATTTAGACTGGACATTAGGAAGAACTTCACAGTTAGAGTGGCCAAGGTCTGGAACGGGGTCCCAAGGGAGGTGGTGCCTAACCTGGGGGTCTTCAAGAGGAGGTTACATAACCATCTAGCTGGGGTCATCTAGACCCAGCCCTCTTTCCTGCCTATGCAGGAGGTCGGACTCGATGATCTATTGAGGTCCCTTCCGGCCCTAATATCTATGAATCTATGACGTGGCTTAAATCAATTGGTCACTGTGTAAACAAAACCAGCTTACACTTCCGCTCTAATGGGAGAATTCTGAATACACGCAATAGAATAACTTAGTAGACTGATCAACCACTAATCACTCCCCGTCATCACGGTCCCGACATATCCTAACCCTCCTGCAGGCTTGTCCGGTCATTCACGGTATCTCATCGTCACACGGTCGATTATATTCGAGCACGTGTCTCAGGTTACAAACAATGAAAGCCTTCTGCCTGCGTCGCACATCACTATCTGGGCGACATAAGTAAACAATCTCCTGCAACCAACAGGCGTCTGTGCCTGGTTAATTTTACCCCATCCATTAATTACCCGCCTGTCAAGGTGAAAGGTTTACTGCTCCGGCTCTGGAAGTCAGAAAGCAGCTGCCGGTGCTGCTCTGATCCCCGACAGCTGGGAATTCCAAGAGGAAAAGAGACAGCATGCCAGATGACCCATCACTGAGTTGTATACAGCCACAGGCCATATATTTGACACCCCTGCTTTAAACAATCTACATATTCCTTGGAAAATGAAGGTTTAGTGAACAATTTTCCAAGCCAACTACTGTTGTTAGATCTCATGATACCAACATTCTCTAGATCTCATAAAAGTATGTTAGTTTGTTACCAAGGTACCCATATTTGAGATCTGATGTTTTAATTTTTTCAATTTCCCCCAAATATGAAAGCTGTTAAAGGGAGTTATTTTTCTGTCCCATATTTTTTAAAGGATTTCAAACATTTTCCTCTTGAGAAACTTTGTCCTCATTTACATCATAAAATTGAGAGGTATACCCACCCCAGAATACCTTGGTGGTTAGTATATTCATCTGAGATGTAAGAGTTGTATTCATGTCCCTGCTCTCCCATCCTCTTGCATCCCAGTTGAATAACCACCTGAATAAAAGGGTCAGTTTCTCTCTCTCTTACCCAATGCATAGGGAATGTATTAATGCAAAGTGGAACAACTCCAACATGACTGACTGACTAAAGACCATGCAATAACAGCAAACAGCATGGTGAGCAGGCCACACCTGAGACTTGGGTTGCTATTGTATGTGGCATGGTGAGCCCTCACCTGGAGTATTATATATAGTTCTGGTCACTCGTTTTAAAGATAGATGCATTTAATCTGAAAGAGGTGCAGAAAAGGGATACTAGAATGATCCAGGCAAAAAACAAAGAGGTAGTAGAAAGAGCTTGGTTTCTTTAGCCTACCAACATGAAATGTGAGAAGGGGTGTGACTGTTTTTTTACAACTAAGCTTGGTGACAAACTCCACTGAGGGAAAACAGCTATTTTATCTAGGAAACAGGAATAATACAAGAGTAAATGGGCAGAAAAAAACCACGAGTCAACTTGCCCTGAAAATAAGGAGGGAATTTCAACTAATCAGTGAACTGAGCTTCTGGAACAGCCTTCCATTTGAAATGGTGGAGCCAGGCAATCAAACTAGCTTTCAGATAGAGCTTGATAAAAGTTTGATGATGTGGTTTCCTGGTTATTCATTAAAAGATTGTTTGTCTTCTCAGCTCCCAGAAAGGTGGCACTCGGGACTGCTGCCCTGGTCACCACTCCCCAGTTACACTACTGAGATACAAAAGTACCAAACTGAAATTTCAATTTCATGTTATAAGTATCTTCAATTTTAAGTTATAGGTACTAAAAAACCCCATAGAACTGAAACTATATCCTGGAATTTTGAAAACAATTAATATTTTTTAATATCATACCTGAATCATATTTGCAACCCAGATATTACTGCAATAAAGTGTTTTAGACATTGTTACAAAATAAAAATGGAAAAAAAAAAACAAAACCCACTCTGATAGGGCACGTCCAGATGAGCATGAGCCCATCTGTGGTGCCGCAAACTGCAAGCGCCACACATGCAGACATTCGTGCGTTGCTGCTTTATGGCACAACAGCATTTTTTGACAGCTGGAAACCCCTGGTGGTGCGTGTGGCGGCAGCATGCACCACCCGAAACTGAAGCCTGGCCAGCCAGAGCCATACTCAGGCTTCCAACCAGGCTCTGTGCACCGGATCACCACTGCTAGAGCCTTGGGAGACCCCCAGCACCCCAGGCAACGCTGCTGAGGCCAGTCCAGATGCTGGCCCCAGAACTATACCCTACCCAGGGCAACTTGGCGGACGTCAAAGTGCACGTGCATAGACGTTCCCCACAGACAAATAGCAGTGGCACAACAGTGTGCCACTGCTATTTGTCCCTGGGGAAACACAGACGTGCCCTGTGTGGAAAAGACTTACCTCCGTCAGATGAAGAGAGGAGACCACAGGACGCTGCGCTAGAAGCGGCGTGCAGTTAAAATGAAACCACAGCGCTCCTGCCTGCCGCAGCAAAGAAGAAAAAGGAAAAAAACTGAGAATCAGACAGAGTTGGGATTGGCTCCTACATCAGCATGGGCACGCTTTGTAACAGCGTGCTGGGGCCAATTCGTGGCCCAGAACACTGCTGCCAGGATAAAAAGCCCAGCAGAGAAACAGCAAGAAGGACCAGAAGTGGGGTCCCCGACAAGCCTGAAGGGGCCACATATTGAAAGTAGTCCCAGCCCAGGGACGTGGTGGCTACCCCAGGAAGGGGTTTTGCTGGAAAGAGAGCCAGGGATGGCTCTATAATTTAATTTATCGGAAGGGACTCCATGGGAGACAGGGACTCACAGCTCAGACTGGACCTTAACAGAATCAGACAGAGCAGGTAACAGCAGACAATCAAGTCATAGCAAGTATAAGACGTCAGTAGAGAGTGGGATGCCGGGGAACCTGACAGCCGGTGGCCAGAAAGGCACTTTAAGTAAGGCAAGGTACGGCTGGGATCAAACAGGTCAAGTAAGGTACCGATTCAGTCATGGTAAATCTCAAGGTATAAGATACAAAAGAGTGCATCATAATCATTCTGGCAACACAAGCAACAACATCTTTAGTTGGTGTTAGGTAGGGTATAGGGGAGGCACAGCCCCAAGCAGGAAGGGCAAACAGAACAACCAGAGGAAGGTGCCAGGAGGGACGGGATAAAACATCTTCCTCTCCACAAAAATTGATTTTCCAAAGACATGACAGGCGAGATCCCACCTGAGGCACTGACCGAGGTCCCATCCATTTATAAGCTTGTTCTTCTTTTAAAGCAATGGTGAAGCCAGAAAGATCCACACAAAACCGACACACTAGTGAAAAGCATGGAAAACTACACCTTGTCTGGACACACCCATACTGGTTTTAAGTATGTGAAAATTTGAGTATCTAGCAATGGTTGATTAACTAAATGTCAACAAACTTGAAAAAATATCTAGCGTATAACTTTTAATCAAAAAACAGGACAAGGAAATTGATGTTTTAAGCACATATTTTGTAAAATAAGGTCTTACTCTTCTTTTGGATAGCTCTGTGTCATTACTGGCATCTGTTTTGCCCCCTGAAAAATAATGCAAACAAACAAACAAAAAAACCACACTGAACATTATTTTTGGCAAATAAATTGATAATCTATATCTTTAAGTATAAATATAATAAACCTATAAAGAGAGCGAGAGAGAACCTCTATTATGTCTAACAAGCTAACTTCTTAGATATATCCATATTAGCAGCAGGGCTAATTTAGAACTACTCAAGTATCTCTGACAATGCACCATACCATATAGACACAGACTATTAACGCTTTAATTGATTTATAAGGCCATATTAACAACATTAATCAAAGAAGGAATATTAAATTATTTTAGGCCAGGTTCTCATATGATAGCCTCTCTTATTGGTGCAAATGGCATTAGATAATCAAGTAAAAATAACAATGTGGCCCTTTATAGTTTTTCCTACATGTTTACTACTAAGAAAAAAAGAAAGATTGGGGTTCTCTCTTATATAAAAATATGGATTGTTCTCGAGTAAAGATAGGGATTGTGAATCAAGATGTGAATGAATAAAGCACTTGTTACTACAGTCTTGTAAATGAATTAATAAAGGTATTTCTATATTGTTTTCCTGCCAAGGCTAGGACTGCCATTGAGTAAGTTAGATCTGCAAATAAATCTGTGTTCATCCAAGACTGGCTTTTAAGCAGCACACACCCTCAGCGCTCTTCAGCTCTGTGCCTCCAAAGAAACTAAGAGTTTTTTCTGGGATGTGTAGTCAGGACCACTGTCAACCATAAGCAGTGCTGGGCTTAGGTATGTACAAAGTCAGAACAAATGGGTGGAGCTAATTTTCTTGATGGCATTTTCAGGCTCAACAGGGAGGCAGTATAATCATGACTGAAAACAGCTGTACTCTTTAGACATCTGTATGCAGTCTAGATTAATGTCTCAAACTTTCATTATCAAAATTGCCCATGATTAGTTCTATTAAGTGCCAGATCCATAAAAAGACATAAGGGCATTTTTACATGTTTTTTCCAACAGGGCATCGGGCGCTTTTAATTAGCAAGCCACATGTCATATGTATCAGCAGCGTAGTGCGTCCCCTTGCTGAGAAAATGGCGGTGGGGTGCTTTGAACTAATGCACACTGAATGTGTTTTATTTCAAAGTGCAACCGCTGCCATTTTCTCAGCATGGAGACACACTTCACTGCTGATGCACTTGATGCCTGAGGATGCCAGAGCACATCATTTTACAATTAAATCGAGTCTGTTCCAATGCACTGGATTTCCAGCACATTGAAGCAAGCTCCCCACATGTGTCTAAGTGTCCTAAGCATCTAAAACAAGGTGACCAAAATTCACCTAAATCTTATGTCAAACTACTATCCAACTGCAGCACCCTAACCTTAGGGGCGGCCAAAATTCACTAGGTACTCCCCCCTGCAGCCTGAAAGCTCCCTAGACACCAGTAGCTGCAGTTCTGCGAATGTGTTAAACTGCCACAGCCTGAGCAGGTAGGTCTTCTAGCTCCTAAGTCCCCTTGGAATCCAAAACCTATGCAAAAGAACATCAATATATTCCATAACACACTTCATTAATGAAAATATGGCATTAAACAGTTCTACAACATACATTTTGTAAATAAAGTTATTTTATTTTTATTTTTTTATGAAAGGAGCTACAGATTTTAAATCTACTTAATAGTTTCAGTGCAAATATACTTAGACTCCACATCTTTTTTGCATTTTTCAACAAGAACTGATTGACAGGCCTGAAATTTCCTATAGTGACAGAGAAGACAGCTTTCTAATACCCTCCTCTGGGTACCATCACTGGAACAACTTACTGCTCAGGTAAGTAGTGAAAATATAGAAAAATTATCTAACCAGTAGCTAGAATTATTTGCCATGTGCTGTCCATATGCACACTCTACTCTGGGTGTTTGTGTGCCTAAAAGATCAGTGTACAAACACCCTGCCACTTCTTGTGCTCTGCACTTCCCACTCTTCAGTTCTCTCAGCAAGAGATTCCCAGAATATTAGGGACTCCAAGGATAAGGGGAAGGAGAGCAAGATGCAGAATGCACTTATGGATGATACATCTCAAAAAACTCGTTACTGATAAATATATATTTTTTGCCTTCAAGTGTTTCCCCATGTGAACATTCTACTGTGAGCAACTCCAAAGTAATATCACCTACATATCATGTTTGTCTAGGATTCTGAGACCCACAACACCTGTAAGACTGCTTTACCAAATGTAATTTCCAGTCTCAGAGGTTCCACAATAAAGTAGCATGTATGATAAAGGTGCATATGAAGATCAGGTAGATTCTACAGAGTCTACCGAAGTCACTAGAGGATCTGGTGGAATGCACTCTTACCATCATTGGCAAGTTTGGTTATTCTTAAGGTCCCTGAACAGATCTCAGTATACTAGACCTGAGTTCTTTCAGTCATCCAATCTGGGGGGTGAAATTGATGAGCTGCAGCTCTCATAGTTGAATCAGTAGAAATTATTTAACAACTCACCAAAAGTGAACTAAACAAAAAAAAACAAACAATCACTGTTACCAGCAGTATTGGGAATTCATTAAGAATGGGCACTGAACTGGTAAGCGTAAACTCTGTGTATTTACATTTGTGGAGATGAAATTGAGCTCACAGGAACTTCATTGAAACTGAGACCTTTGAAGCTGCATGAATTATTGAAATTAACATTTGATATCAGAGAGCGTATCAGTCCCTTTTCCCAACCTTCAGAGTTATCCTGAGCTCTGAGCCAGAGGAAAGGATGGGCAGGAAGTACAAATGCAAAAAACAACTCTCAAAGAATAACAGCTACTAGAATATAACCTTTCTTTCTTCTTTGAGGCCTTCTGAGCAATATTACCCAAAATGGACAGAGGAGTGGAGTGAGTTGTTCATTAGTTAAGCAAGGAATAGGGGAGAGCCTGCCTGAATCTCAGTAGAAGACAAAGTCTAATGTAAAGTGTTTGAGTGGGAGGTGAGCATTCAGTGAAGTTAAATGAGATGCATGTGGCTGCTCTACAAACTTCTCATGTACCTTAATCATATGATAGGCAGGTGCAGTATGAAACATGCTATATTTCTGTTGGAAAAGGAACCTTAGTTTTAGAACAACAAATGAGAAGGCACAAGGTGATTTCTTTAGAAAATCTTTGAGCAGAAATAGCCTCTGCCCTTTGTAACTTTCTCCATATGCCAAAAATAATCTATTACCTATATGCTAGATTTTAGTCCAGTCCAAATGTCATGGCATACACATATACACAGCGATTCATTTCTGGGGGATATTATTAATACATACATATTCCCCTAAATTGGGTTTCCTATCACCATGTTTATAGTTAATAATATTATTAACTAAATAATAATTAATAATAAGCTACGTTTTTCTCAATCATTCATATGTTTCTATGTAACATTCAGTATGATGACCTACATAATAAATGGGTTATTAGTTGTTTGACAATCTAACCTGTTGGACTAGCTATCAGCCAGTTCCTGTGTTAGGTTTCTGCCCAGACAGTGGCTGAACACGTTTCAAAAGGGAAATGAATCAGATGTTCTTTTTTGATATGCATCTAAACTTGTCAGACTGATGGCTGTTCAGAGGAAAGAATCTGATGCAAAGATATGAATGTTTCTGTCTTCCTTGACTAGAATAAAGATGAAGGATGTGTGATAAGGCTGGTGGTGCTCAAGGTTTAGGCTGGTGGTGCTCAAGGTTTAGGCTGGTGGTGCTCACCCCTGCAGATGGGGTGAATAGAGCAGGGCCAATTTTAAGGCCAGATTGGGCCCTACCTCCCCTGCACACTGCCCCTGACCCAGCTCCGAGCACCAGAATTGGGCCCTACACTGGCCCCATGCACTGGGATCTAGTGCTTGGGCCCTGCACCATCTCTGCCCCACCACTGGGCCCTAGGGCCTGGTACCGCCTCTGCCTGCTGGAATAAAGTTTTGAGACCTTGCATGGCCTCCATCTGTACACCAAGATTGGGCTCTGGGGCTTCACATCACCTCTGCCTGGCCCCCATGCACAGGAACTGGGCCTCACACTGCCCTGCATGCCCAATCTAGCACATAGCACCACAGCTTACAGGGCTCCCCATATACCAGTGAAAAGCCCTGTGGACTTGATGACAGTGCTGGGGGCCAGATCTGGCCTATGGCCCAGCAGTTGAGCACCCCTGTGATAAGGGATGTAAGCAGAAGTCCCCTGGGGGGAAGTTATTCAAAATACCCTAAATCTAGAGCAAGTGTCTCAAAACTTTGTCATAGTGAGCCTCACTTAGCTATAAAAAGACTGCGCCTTCCCCTGGTTTGCTAAAACAATACAACAAACTGAAAATAGGTCCACATACTGCACAAAATGAATAAACAGAATCATGGGATTTGATCATTAAAGATAGAATGAATACTTTTGAAACTCAAACTAAGTTCAAGGGCAGTATAAATGAAAGCAGTTAAATGAGAACTTTTCTTAAACATTTTAGGAAACATGATATCAAACAATGATAGGTGAACTCACTATAAAAAGCCATCAGTCCTACTTTAGCAATGGGAGGGGTATGTTTGTTTCCTCACTGTACAAAGCAGCGGCATTTGGTGTTACAGTGCAGAAAGGAAGAGATGCACGTCATCTTCAACAGAAAGCACTTTGTTTTGACAGCAGTTAATGCCGAAAAGTCCGACTCTCATAGGCAGGTGGAAGAAAAAGGAATGGGAACTTTAAGAGCCTAGTGTGTTAACTCAGAAAACTCAGATCCTACTGATAACCAAAAAGTCTGCAGCTGGCATTTGTGCTGCAGTTCCTGATCGCTTGACAGATCAATAAGGCTTTCCTCTTCTTTTGAGGACAGCATGTGGGGATTGGCTTAAAGGTGAATGGGTTCCTGATCCACTGATTACATATGGCTTTGCCCACTTCAGGAACGTATTCATGAAACTGTTCCCAGTAGACCCCATAAGTGCTGAACAATTACATCATGGATACTGTCAACTGACAGATCACCGCACTGTTGCACAATTTCCT